GAATGGAAACACAGTATTGAGGGGCACTGAGCACAGGCCCCGCCCCCGTCTGGCCACAGTCTGGCTGTTCAGCCCGAGGCTTTCTTGCCGGAGTTTCGGATTCCTCATCTGTCAGACTGAGTGTTCTTAGGATGCACTCAGAGGTCCTCTGTGAACTGAAGCACAGTGTGGCTGGACTGTTAATATATAGGCTCAGGTGTGGTAACAAAGAAGCCTCAAACACAGTAGCTTAAACAGGGAGAGGTTTCTCCCTTCAGAACAGTCCAGAGGTGTCTAGTCCAGACCTGGTGGGCAACTCCTGGCCCTTAACTTGCTGCTTTGGCTCTGGCTCAGGGGACTGCTTAGCTTCTCCTGGAGTCCCAGATGGAAGCCAGGCCAGCTCATACCCAGTTCTTTAAGGATGTCACCTCTCATTCCCACTGGGCAGAAGGTAGTCACATGGCCACACATAGCTGCAAGGGATGCCGAGCAGTCTGGTTTTGGGCGGGACGACCTCACACGTAGCTATTATTACGGCGGAAGAAGAGCACTGCCACGGTTGTTGTCTTCACAGTTTGTGCCCTATGCGCCCAGCAGTCACTGTTCACCTCCTCGGCAGTGACTATGGACACCTCCCCTATTCTACTGCGAGCTTGTTGAACCCAGGACCTTGACTCAAACCATACTTTTAATACTAACACTCTGATCACCATTTGTAATGGACTTCCTGGGTGCTCTACACACATTCGCCCACCTAGACCTCACATCCATCCTGTGAGATGCATTGTCCCAAATTACAGATGAGTGACCGAGGTTCGCTGGGACAGTTCCCAGGGTGTGTAATGATGACATTCTAGTTCTAACCTGTGGGTGGGGCTGCTTCCTCTGCTGGTGTTTGTCCAGGGGCCCCGGCACTCGGGTGGCACTCCAGAAGTGCTCGTTTGGGGAGTGAGTGGGCCAGGTCCTGCCTGACGCAGCTCCGCTGGTACCCTAGGCTCTCAGACTGCAATAAGGAGAACACACTGCACAGCTACAGCACCCAGAAGGGCTCCCTGAAGGTTGGGGAGCAGCGCATGGGCTCCGAGGTCATCGGCCGGAGTGGCCTGCGGAAAGCAGATGGACAGCGGCCGTCCCTGGACTACGTGGAGCTCTCCCCACTGACTCAGGGCTCCCCTCAGAGGGCCCGCACCCCGGCTCGCACTCTCGACCGCCCGGCCAAGCAAGAAGAGCTGGAGCGGGACCTGGCCCAGCGCTCTGAGGAGCGACGCAAGTGGTTTGAGTCTGTGGATAGCAAGGCCACGGAGACACCGGCTGGTGAGGGACCGCGCCGGGGCCTGGGCGCCCCCCTGACCGAGGACCAGCAGAGTCGGCTCAGTGAGGAGATTGAGAAGAAGTGGCAGGAGCTGGAGAAGCTGCCCCTGCGGGAGAACAAACGGGTACCTCTCACTGCCTTGCTCAACCAAAGCCGTGGGGAGCGCCGCGGGCCCCCAAGTGACAGCCACGAGGCACTGGAAAAGGAGGTATGCATCACAGCCGGCTTCTGGGAGCCCCCTCAACCCACCAACACCCCTCCTATCCCTGCAGTCATGCTATGGCATGTATCTTGCATACCTACAGTGATGGGGAGCTCACCCCTGATCCACTGTCTGACACATCAGACTCCTTGTAAACTGGAATCTTCTCTCCCAGACCTTAGGTTCCCCCCCACCCCCCTTAGTTCTGTCCTTAGCTACCATAGGGAAGGGAAGAGGGCTGAGAAAGGAGAGGCCATTTATTGAGCATCTTGTGCTGGGCCCTCTTTAATCACGTGACCCTCACAGCAGTCTTATGGTCCCATAGGGTGGACCTCATCACAGTTTTACTGATGGGAAGGTGACGCTCAAAGATATTCTCCTGCCACATACATAATGTAAACACCTGTGACCACCGTGTCCTGTTCTCAGCCCTGTCTAGTCTTCTCTGGGCTAAAGCTCTTCCGGGTCATTGACCCCCACTATTTAGGAAACAGCTGGAAGGTCCTCCTTTCCTGCATATCCTCACCAGGGCCACCTCCCCCTAAAAGCTTCTCACTGCCTCCCACTAGCCCCCTCCGTGCTTCCAGGCCTCCACTGACCTCGCCTCTTCCCTTCACAGGTCCAGTCTCTTCGTGCCCAGCTGGAGGTATGGCGTCTTCAAGGGGAGGCTCCTCAGGGTGCACCCAGGTCCCAGGAGGATGGTCACATCCCCCCAGGCTACATCTCACAGGTGAGGCTGAAGAACTGTTTTGTGGGTGATGGGGGCAAGTTTCTGGTTGCCATGTTTTCAGAAAACAGCTAAATTTGGGGATCCTTTTCTGTGAATGAGAACCATGTGAAGCGTTTGACAGGCCTTGTCTTGTTTAATCTCCCCAGCGGGTGGTGAGCACTGTGCCCATTTTACAGACAAGGCCACTGAGCTATGAAAGGTTGTGTGACTTGCCCAAGGTCAATCAGCCTGCAGATGTCAGAGGTGGGATTTGAGCTCAGGTCCTGCTGACTGCCCTCATGTGACACTCTGCACTTGGACCATTTTCCCCACACTGCCCTGGGGAAGTGGAGAGCCAATGGGGAGTGGGAGCCCCCAACCGGCAGACCCCTGGGAGTTGCTCCCTAAATACGGAAATCCTGCCCATGCCTGCCAGGTCAAGGCCCTCACAAGGTGGCCTGTGGGACCTGGCAGCCTCCAGTGGTCCTCGGGAGATGTGTGGTCTGCCTAGGACAGCAGTTCTCAACTGGGGCTGATTTTGTTCTCCTGGGGACATTTGGTCATGCCTGGAGATACTTTGAATTGTCACCACTGGGACAGCTAGCTCTCCAGAAAAAAATACACATGTGTATACACACATGCACACTTATATATGTCATATATACACACATATGTATACATATATATAAAATAATATATGGTAAATATGTTGATTATAAATTTTATTAATACAAAGAATGTTTAGTGTACAACTTACAAATAAAAAATACATAGTACTTTTTATTGTGAATTTCATATAGCAAAGGAATACTTCCAGTGGTTTTTCCGAATGCTTGTATCCACAGCTAACTGACAAATGGGTGTCATTCTAACATGAGTGTTGATTGACATTTTTGTTTATATAAATGAGTAAGGCGGGAAGACACTTTGATACTTCACTCAGTCAATGTCATGAGCAGTTTCTTTGCTGAATTGGAAATAGTTTTCTATTGAGAATATTAAGACTATTTCTTCATGTTTTTTTTCTATTTACAATGTGATGGTTGTATAGTGCACATTTAAGTTTAATCTGCATTATTAGCATTTTGTCATCGCTTACTTAAGTCTAGACAATCAACAAAACAACAGATCAAGTCCTGATTTGTAATGTTTACCAATGTCCATGGTGTAAATACTCCCACTGTGGCTGAAGGACCTGAACACGGAGTTGGGAAGATATGTGTATGCCATTAGAGAACATTTCCACCATACAGATACCGAAGACATAAACAACCTCGAGAGCATAGATAATAATAAAATGCAGTGAAATAATTAAGAAGTGATGTATTTTGAGTATCAGCTTTGTTTTTAATGTAATTAATTTAATTGTAATTTTAAATAATGGCCGTGCTTAACAGCTGTGTCCAGAATTCCTAAAAATTTGACAGTCAGCTGCCTCTAGCCAGCACACTATTGCCCGAAGCAGAAAGGAATGCTGGGATCCCAGGGTCTGACCAGAGGAGTCTTCTAGAAGTTCCAAGGCGAGAGGTTGCTGTGCAGGGTTCTCAGGAAGTCTTCCTGGGGGTAGGCTCCAAGTTGAGCACTGGGATGAGGTGGGGTGAGGGGAGGCACCTGGGCTGTGCCAGGAAGGGGAAAGGCGGTGGGTGGCTATCCTAGAGACCTCTACTGCCAAGCCAAGGGTTTGGGATTTTGTTGAACACACCTGAGTAGGTTTGGAGTCTGACAGTGACATCAGGAAGATGGTTTTGGAGTGAAGAGGGGCTTGGGAAGGGGCAAGGCCGATGTCAGTAGCTAGAACAATGACTAGGGGAGAAAGGGACGTAGGAGGATATATGGAGGGAAGAGAGTTAAAGGCCCAAGGAAGGCAGAGGGGACCCTCCAAGGGGACCTAAGGCTGGGGCTGCTGTCAAGGTCAAGGGGCCCATCTGGGGCTGAGTGGTTGATGGAACATTCGGTTGAAGGGAGATAAAGGCCAAAGGGAGTTGAGACCTGACGTGAGGGCTATCTTGGGGGTCACCTGGCATGGGAAGTAGGGAGAAGGCAGATACCAGTGTTGTCAAAGGCTCCCCTGAGGCCAGAGGCAGGGGTGGGCGGGGCATCACCAGGCAGGGCGGGGCCTACCACTGTGGCCTGAGGCAGCTGGGACCACCTCAGTGACCTTACCTAGAGGGTTCCAAGCTGTGCCCTTGGAAGCCCAGGGGCCGCCTTTCTGGATGGGTCCATTCGCGAATCAACCGGTAATTGGGAGAAGCTCTGTCTTTGTCCGTTTTACTATTAGAATGTTTGTTAAATTTCCTTTGGAAAAAGATATCTGTCACCGAAACGAAGTTTGAAAAGCACTTCTCTAACTTCTCAGGGCTGTCAGCATTTCGTCCTACTAGGTGGGATGGGCAAGGGGAGCAGGCGGAATTGGGGGGGTGGGAGGTGAGAAGGGAATAAGGGGAAACAGCGCAGAAGACGAGAGTGGAGGAGAGGCCCAAGACGCCGAGGGTGCCAGAGCAGAGGAGCTGAGGCGCCAGACGAGGCGGCTGGAGATGCAGTGGACTCTGGAGCGGTGACAGCCGGGGTGGGATCCCCCAGCCTGGTCTCTCGGGCCGAGTGGGTGCCCTTCTTTCACCTGGTGGGGCTTGCCACCACAAGACAGCACCTGGGGGGCCTGGGGCTTCACCCACTGGGGCCGTAGACCTCTCTAGCAAGGGGGACCCTTCCAGCCTAATGCAGTGGGGGCCATGGGCATTTCTTTATCCACTTTGATCAATGTCAGGGGTGGCAGCTGACACCTTGGGCCCTCAGGAAGGTAGGTCAGAAAGCAGCACCTGGCCTTCAAGGAGCCCCTCCTCTTGGGGTGGTTCCCACTTCCTGACATCAGCCCCCTGACACCCTGTTAGCCTCTGGCTCCACCTGCCTGATCTGGCCCTTTAAGAACAGGTCTCTACCCCCCGTATTTCTCAGATCTGTGCAGGTGGGTGGGTGGGTGGGTGATCTTGGCAAACGGGTGCTGGCTTACCTGAGGGACTCTTGGGAGTCAGTTTTATGGAACCTGTTTTACAGATGAGGAGACTGAGGCTCGGAGGGAAGGGCTTGGCTTGTTCAGGTGCACTCTGTGGTACAGCCAGGATTAGGACCCAGTCTATGGGACTCCAAAGCTGTGTTCTATTGTTCTAACTCAGGGGACACATAGAAGAGAGGCACAGAGGCCCAGGAGGACGGATATCCCCTGCTCACCACGTAGACCGCCAAGACCCACAAGGCCTGGCCTTAGCCCGTCCCTCAAACTGGTCCTCACAGCCCCCAAGTGTAGCTGCTGGAGAAGTGGGGGTTGTCCTCACCACCATGAGGTTCCCTGTGGCATGGGGGAGAATACAATCTCTTACCTAACCCTCTGTGCCTCAGTTTCTTCCCTGGCTCGTCCCTTCCCTTTTTAATCTTAAATATTTTGTAATTACATAAGGAATAGGTTTATATTTTCAAAAAGAATTCAAACAAATTAAAAGGTTAGAAATAAACACATGACCTCTCCTTGCCCTGCGTGTTCCCTCCCAGGGGTCACCTAGGTTACCATCTGAGTACATCTGTATAGTTTCCTGTTTATAGTCTCACAGTTTTGGGGGGTAGAAGTCTAGCATGGGTCTCGCCAGGCTCAAATCCAGGCACCTGGAGGACCGCGTTCCCTTCTGTAGGCTCTGGGTAGGATCTGGTTCTTCGCCTTTTCCAGCGTCTGGTGGCTGCCCATGCTCCATGGCTCACGGCCCTTTCATCTTCAAAGCCTGCAAAGGAGTCAAGTCCTTCGCACTCTGCTCTCCTGCCCCCTCTTCCGCATCTAAAGATGCTGTGGCTACGTGGGGCCAGCACATGATCTAGGATAGTCACCCTATTTTAAAGTCACCTGATTAGCAAGGTCAGTTCCCCTCTGCCAGGTAAGGTCACATTCGCAGGTTCCGAGGAGTAGGACGGGGACATCTTTGGGGGCCAGTACTCTGCCTCACAGTGTCCTTCCCTCCCTTTTCTGTTTTTGCATATATGTACCCGTATGTCCGTCTGTGTGTGTTTTGTTTTTGTGCGTGGGATTTTCACAATGCATATTATCAAAAACCAGCTTTCATCACCATCTTTCTAGCTACATCTTCCCAGCAGTCCACATGGGTGGCTCTTTTAACAGCTGTTAGGTCCTTTGTAAGGCTCGAGCCCATAATTTATTTAAGGGTTCCCTGCTAGGCATTTAGATTGTTTCCAGGTTTTGTCTGTCCCAGTGTTGCCGTAGGGAATACCCTTCTCCAAGAGCCTTTGTGTACATGTGACTTTCTGTGGGGTCATTCCTAGGAGTGGACCTGCTAGGTCGAGGGATGGTGTCATTAAAAATACACACCGATGCCACCAAACTGCTCTCCACGCACCCACTCTGCAAGTCTCCCAGTAGTGGGTATTATCAGTCTTTTAAATACTGGCCATTCTGGTCCACAAGACTCCATTCTGTGATAAGTCATTAATCTCAACTCTCTTACTCAGCACCTGCCACACATTGGTCCCCAGCCTGGACCCTGGGGACTCAGAACCGGGTCAGATCTTCCTTGTCTTCGGAGAGCTTATGGTCTGGGGGAGCAGAGCCTTTGGAGGCAGGGGAGAGGTGGTCCGGAGACAGAGCTAGGAGGACATTTAAGCTGGGCTATAGGTCAAGTGAATTACTCAGGAAGAAAAAGATGCAGAAGAATGTTTCAGGCAGCGAGACTGGCATGAGCTAAAGCTCAGAGGCATGAACATGCTATGAATTATTTTTATAACTAGGGGTTTCTTGGTGGAGAAGGGCGAGGGATGAGGCTACGAGAGTCAGACATGGGAACAGGGACTTGACCCTGCAGGATGCAGGGCCTCAGAGAGCTTCGAAGCAGATTGACAAAGCGAGGTTCGTGGATGGGGGAAGTAGTGGGATGGGGGCAGATGCAGGCTGGCGGTTCAGGGATCCAGGGAGAGATGGTGAGGCTTGGACTAAGGCAGGCCCGCCCCTGAGGCTTCTCACCCCAGGCTGGAGAAAGGTCACTGTTCCGGGCAATGGGGGCAGCCCCATGACCCCCTGGCTTCCCGCCCGCAGGAGGCGTGCGAGCGCAGCCTGGCAGAGATGGAGTCCTCACACCAGCAGGTGATGGAGGAGCTGCAGCGCCACCATGAGCGGGAGCTGCAGAGGCTGCAACAGGAGAAGGAGTGGCTCCTGGCGGAGGAGACAGCAGCCACAGCCTCAGGTGAGGACTCTGGGCCGGAGCGGTACCGACGGAGCCGGACCTAAGAGCCTCCAGGCTGAGGCTCCTTCTCACTGAACTGAGGAGGCCTTTAAATAAGAGCCTGGGGTCTCACTGCCAAATTTGGGGTAAGGGATCAGGAGGGATTGGAACTGGCCTCTGACCTTACCTGAAAAGAGGAAACCGATCTCGTCTGATCTCGGAAAGCTAAGCAGAGTCGAGCCTGGTTAGTACTTGGATGGGAGACCACCTAGGAAGACCAGATGCTGTAGGCGTAAAAAAAAAAAGAAAGAAAAGAGGAAACTGAGTCCACACCAGATGCTGTAGGCGTTAAAAAAAAAGAAAGAAAAGAGGAAACTGAGTCCATAATAAGACACACACACCCTGTGGGTTGTGACTACTCTCCCTCAGGGGCCGCAGCCACTGGGAGATCCATCCCAAGCCACACGTACTCACACTGAGCTTCAGCTTCGTGCCCAGGCTCATGCCGTGTGCTGGGGGAGAGACTGCTGAGCCTCAAACCCTGTTCTCATCGGTGGGCTCGCTCACAGGGTACACAGGCTGGACGCTGGGGAGAGCGGGCAAAGGCATGAGCAGTTACTGAGCTGTTTGCCATGCGAGCGCCCTAGTCCTTGCAGTGCTGAGGAAGTGACTCATTTCATAGATGAGGAAATGGGCTCAGAGAGGTTAGTGACTTGCCTGGGATGGCACAGCTTGGAGGTGGCAGAAGCTGGAGTTGAAGCCTAGAGGACTCTGACT